AGATAGAGAGAGAGAGATAGAGAGAAAGAGAGAGAGATATATAGATCTAGAGATAGAGAGAGAGAGAGAGAGAGAGAGAAAGAAAGAGAAAAAAAAAACACACACACACACACATTCGGACAAAAAAACACACCAATAAATGCACATATACATATACATACATATACACATATACATATATATATATAGATATATATATATATATACATATATATATATATATATATATATATATATATATATATATATATATATATATATATATATATATATATATATATATATATATATATATATATATATATATATATATATATATATATATATATATATATATATATATATATATATATATATATATATATAATTACGTTTTTACTACAAAAATTATGGGCCTAATTTTAAGGAAGAATTTATTTTATACTAAAATTGCAATTGAATTTATACGTTTATTTAAATTCCAGTTATATTGCAATAATTCGTTAATATATTTATATATTGGTACAATAAATTATTCTTATACTCTTCCTTAATATTTTTATGTAATATTAAATAATTATGATTTATTTTCTTTATATATGAAACAAGGTATATTTATAAAAATCTTGAGGTAAATTATAAGGAAGAGTATAAGAATAATTGATTATAATATATATGAAATTAATATGTTACCACTAATAACGAATTATTGTAATATAAATTGACTTTTAATTTGATGTTATTAATGAAATATGTAATGCCGCATGAGGGATGAGTAGGATGCCAGCGTGAATGCCAAATGTCGAAATCTTAATGTATGAGAGTTTCAATTCATATATTATACTGATATAGTTGTTATCTAATAAAATTTTGTAGTTGATTATTGTAATTTGTAGTTGATTATAAATTTAGTAAATAAAGAATAAATATTAATTGTAGTTGATTATTGTAATTTGTATAGTTGTTTACGATGTGGTCAATCTGCTAGGAAAACAAAAACGAGTTTATTATAAAAAATTATTAAAAAGGAAAAAGGAAAAGGATGTAGAAATTAGAACGATATATAGATAGTGAGTAAGAGTTTGGAATAATCTAGATATATAAAAGAAAGGTTTTCCCGGAAACCCTAATGGCAGTTTTGATAAAATTTTGATAACCAAGGATATTTTTGTAATTGTATGCATCAGTTATTTGAATAGTTTTATTTGCTGATTTTATTGCCCACAATTTCAATTCAACGATAAGAAAATAAAATAATAAATCGCATACAATTGAAAAACTGATCGCGATCGATTACAATTTCCGATAAAAATGACACGATCTAAAAATTGAAAACTACAAGTTTCTGTCTCATTTTCTTTGAAATCATTTGTAAGACTTTGCAAAATTTCGGCCTTTTTTGTGGTCTCAAATTGGTAGAATTATTTTTTCTTTTTTGCAGATTTCTTTTAAACAAACATTTCCATCATTTGTTGCTTCTGCCCTCATCCAATAGCAGGTATATATTATGGAAAATACGACTTTTTGTAATTATGTATATACATGTTCTATATTAGCAGGGTAATTTACGTATTTTCTTACACATAATAGTAACACTTTCTTACACCAATTTACGTAGTTATCAAATGGTGTAATATAATAGTAGTGGAAAATAAATGACTTCAAGTTTAGTTTTTTTCCTATGAAAACATTATTTCTTCTTCAACATAACCATTATACAGTCATATATAATTCCTATCATTTTAAGTTTTTATAATATATTTTATTTCTTTGCATGTTTGTAGATACACACCGTACACGAAACGTCTCACTTATAATTTTGGTGAAAATTGTACTCATACGCATATTATTTTCGTTATTTTATGCGTTGATGCTCTGACTTTCATTCCTTTTTGTTCATATCTAATTTTATCGGTGTTACGTGATGATGGAATACCATTAGTTTAACCCACTACGTATTATCCGGCAAGAAAGTTAATCACCTATCACGACTTCATGTGTAAATGTTTATTTTTAAACTTTGAAATTTAAATCTATAGTGCAGGTTGGATTTATAATATGATTAATGTGAGCAGGACAAGCTTCTGATGAGACAATTTATTTCCGATTACTAAGTACCTCAATTTGTTTGAGAGCTACTAGAATGGCAGGTATCTTTTTTGCGATATTTTTTTGGGTATAAGAAATTCTGTAAAGTGGGATGGCGAAAAATAATTAGTCAAATTGCGAGTTAGCCTTATAAGTTGGTGGTAGGAGTTTGAGTTAGTTTCCAATTGTTCATGATGATTTGTGGGTTAGTATTATTGGTTTTTTTTTTTTTTTTTCTTTTTTCAGTTTTCTTTTTCAATGTAAAAGGTTGGTTTGTTATGGTTTAAGACAGTAAATTTTTAATAGTTTTTTCATATGTTTGAACAGAGTCATTGTTGAGGACACCACCGTAAATCCGCGTCTCCGAATGATTTGAAGAAAGCATACAAGAAAGTTGCTATCAAGAATCATCCCTACATGGGCGGTACGGTGACCCCGAGAAGATATTTGATCAAATAAATTTAATCGTCAAAATTTGTAAGTTCTTTTGTTTCTGCTTGATGGATTGTTTGGGCCCATGCATTATATTGTTTTCTTTCTGATTTGGTTTGTGAATTTTATTTTTTATTTGGTGATTTGAGTTTGTTATGTGATGTTATGTTGTGACCCTAGGTTCCCCTTATAGTGCTGAAATGTGGCCCAATTTTGATATATTAAGAAGAGAACCAATTTAGTCATGCAAAATCAATGAATGATTGGATGCAAAGAGCTCAATTGGATGAATATGTTATTATTATTACAACATCAATTATATGTGGGCAAAGTTGATATCTTTCTCATAAAATTTATTATTAATCTTGCTAAGATTTGCATGCTCTAAGTCACTGATAATGCTGTTGTCAATGTATAAAATGATCTGCTGTAGCAATGGTGGAGGCGAACGAAAAGCTTAATGCTTAATGTCCGTAAATTTTATTTTTCTTTTTTAAATTCAACAGTTTCTTACTTCAGCGGATGTTGAATTGGAGGTCGTATTGAAATTCTCAAGGAAAAAAAGGTTATCGCGTGGAGGATTTCTTCTTGGAGAAGTTCTCCTTCGCTGCTTAGAATTCCATCGACTCGGCGGCTGCTGCTAAGAGCTATAAGGGGGTTCATGCGACGATAAGTTTGTGATTTTGGGTGATTTGTTTTATTCATTTTGCATTTTTCATTCCTCTGTAATAAAAGAATCACTAGGACTTTTTTTTTTTTTTTTGTGTAGTCTCCATCAATGAATACATATTTTACAAATAAGCCAGATATAATTATTTTACAAATTAGATGATTTTGTTAGATTTATTCAGTGAAACATTAAAGTTTGTTTGAATAGGAGATAGAATGATTAAGTTTTATATTATTTTGTAAAAAATAACAGTATCTTTTGTCTACAATTACGAGTTTTATCCTGGTTTTCTTTCCGCTTTGGAGAAACGAATTGTTGTTTTGTTCTGAATATTGAACTTTATTTCGCTGCTTATAATTTTTCATTGAACAACTGTATATTTTTATTTATATACTATATGAATGGTAATTTAAATTTCACAAATAAATATTTTAATATTGCTTAGTATATTTTTTATTACAATCTTTTTTGTGTGTATTTGAATAATTATTTTATTTCCTTTTGTGTCTTTATTTGAAAGTACAATATATTTCTTTTGCTTTTCAATTTTCATTCTTTCTTTTTGCAATGTCAACCCGTGCACCGCACGGGGTAAAATACTAGTGTAAGGATAAAATGAGATTATGAGAAGTTAGGGGCTCTCTCAAATCCAAATAACAAAGTGGGTTTAGTCCTATTGAAATAAATAATGAAGGGGTTCTCTCTAATAAATTTACCGAGTCTTTTTGTACATAAATTTCTTTTATAAGAAACTTTTCATAATTAATTCTCATTTTGAGTTAATTTTTAGTAATTTTGGTGGATTACGAAAAAAACCCCTCCTGTTTGCACAATTACAAGCACCCCCGTCAACTATGTATTATCTTACGAAAAAATCCTTCATGTTGATAACTTTAGGGGCGTTTATTCAGTAAAATTGTAAATAAATTGCGGGGTGCGCCAAAATTTTATACCGTTTTGCGTTTGGTTCTATAAATAACCAAATTACCAAAATTTTATTAAAAATATTTAAATTTTGATTTTGATTTTGATTTTTTTTAAATTAATTTTAGTTTAAATATTAATATAACACATTCTTACACATAAAAGGGGGGAGGGTGTCTTATGAAAGTACATAGTTGATGGAGTGGTTGTAATTATTCAAAGAAGAATGACTTTTTTCACAATTTGGTCTTACCCCAGGGATTACAGTAATTTGCCTATTTTAAATGACTCTAATGAGATAATTAAAATCCATCATAATGACTCAAAAGACTAATTGTAAATGAGAACTAAGGGTCTGAAACCAGGTTAATGAATTTGTTGTTATAAACTTAAAATAATTAAGCCTAGTTTTAGTGAAAGAGTATAATTTGAAAATGGGAGCTTTATAATTTAGTTTTACTTGAATAATAATTACATTTGAAATTATAATTACTTTTGAAAGATAGTGGTCATACTTATAGTATATTCTCTATATCTACATTGTGTTCCATTTGAGACTAAAACTATGTAACACGAAAACATTAACTTCCTAATATATCCGTGTTTCGCCTAGGCGAATTAAGTTGGTTTAAGGGAAGGGAATTCACCTAGGTGAATTAAGTTGATTTCTTAAATTGCGCATCTATTAAAAAAAATGAGATTTATCTTAATTCGCTTAGAACTGGGCTAAATTCCACGGTTGGATTAGGCGGTCGATGACAGATAACCGGTATTTAAAGGCACGCGAGTGGAATAAATGCTATTCTTTGGATTGGAGGTGGTTTTGAGGATAGAGGATGTGGATGAGGATAAGATAATTTCATTTAAAGATATGTACTTTCGTTCTAAGCTCTAGTGGTGAGCAAAAAACTGATAAACGAAAAACTGAACCAAAAACCGAAAAATCAAGCCGATATGCACCGTCTTTACTTAAAAACCGCATATGCGGTAATTTCTTTTTTTTTTTTGAAAAACTGAAAATATCGGTTTGTGTATGGAGGATAAAAATAATTACCGAACTGAACCGATTTATACAAAATGGCGTCATTTTTTATTAGTTAATTTTGGGTCGTGACGTGTTTTTTATTAGTTAATTTTGGGTTGTTATTAGTTAATTTTCTCAAATAAATGTAATGATAGTCCAATTATATCGGTTTTATACCGAACCGATTCGAACCAATAGGTGAAACCGAAATCGAAAATAAACCGAATTGATACCGAAGCTGTTAACCGAAAACCGGAAACCGAAAAACCGATTAATGCCGAACCAAAAAAAACCCGACACGTTCGGTTTTTAAAATATGAAAAACCGATATATCGTTACATGTTTGGTTTATTGCAAAAACCGATCCCTACTGACCAATGCCCACCCCTACTAAGCCCCTACTAAGCTCTCTAACTAAGCTGGTCGAAAGACTTTTAGCAAAATGAAAAAATATGAGCGTCTTGTCGTCCTGATATGAAATAAAATTAAAATCAAAGAATGTTTAGCAAATCGCTCAAATAATTTATATATAGCATAAAATAGGACTATCCTGTTTGGGAGTTCAAGCGGTTATTTCTATACTACACCTTGTGAATGTTACACATGATGATTTTTTGTCGGTGATCAACAATACCAATACTAGATTTTGTAAGTAAATGAAATTAAAATAGTCAAAAAAACTGGAATCCACACAATGCAATTTGCCAATACTAAGGGCCAACAAGTGCAATTTGACCAGAATCTTGTAAGTATGCCCCAAATATATAATATTTTTAATAAATTCTCATTATATAACACTCTTGCACTTACAATATTTTATAACAACTAAAACTTGGAAACCAAGGATTTTACCTTATATATAATACCATCCCATCATCATTCTCAAACCATAACAACCTTCATTTGCCTTTGATTAGTAATTAGAAAAAAAATGAGAGCAAAGAAAGTCAACGCAACAAAATTGTCCACCATGCCACAACATCTAATCCAACCGTGGAATTGGGAAGTCAACCCTAATGTGATCAATCTAGGGTTGACACATTCGTGGGTACGCCGATGCAACGGTAGTGAAGATCGGTTCCGATTATGCCCTCAAATTTACCAAGTAGATGTCGACGCAACCTACAATCCATTTTATCCTCCTTACTACATCCGTTCTTCGGTTGTCGATGTTTCCACTAGTCGAATTCTACCATCTAAGAATGCGAAAATTCCATCGAAATTTACTCAGATAATATCTTCACATGAAGCGGTTAATATTCCATGTATTACTCGTATGTGTATGACTGGCGTTTCTAGCCCTTCCCTCTTCGGCTACCGATCGAATCCGCCAATTAATCGCGGCCGGCATACCAAATACACATCCACTTTGATCAAATACGAGTGCAACACAATCGACCCGTTTGATGCCAAGAAGAAACGCATGCAATTCACTAGTATCGCGAAACTTCAAGGCGCGGTCGTTGCATTGAGTTTGCAAGGGGCTCTTGCAGTTATCCAAGAAATCGACTCGTGTCTTACGATAAAGGCCGTAAGCTCGAGCAGAGCTGTTCCATCGGTAAGTTCAAAGTTTTTCAAGGAGTACTTTGTTCAATTGAATGGAGAGATATTGTTGGTTTTCTTAATAAACCAAAAAACGGCTAGTGTGGTGGACAAAGTCGAGATTTTTCGTCTTCGTTTTCCCGATCTTAAGTTGATTAAGGTTGAAAATATTCAAGGCAAGACATTGTTCGTGGATCAATGTCATAATCGGGTGAGCTCGGTACAAACCGGTTACAGAGGAAATTGTATTTATTTCAATCAGGGTTCAGAAAATGAGCGATGTAAATATGATTTGGTAAGTGATTGCATTTCACCTGCTTAATTGGAAATGTAAAATAAAACATGTTGGAATCCTATTATTCTTTTATATATCTATTTCAATGAATTGATATGTAATAATATATATTTTATATTGAATGGATTTTTACAAGATAAATATCTTTACAATTATTATATATAAAACTATAAAAGATTTAATTTAAAATATTATGATTGAATCGAGTTGAACTGTTTCAACCGTGACCCAGTGACTATCTAATTCTATGTCCAATTTGGTTTACAAACTTTGTAACAATACCAATCTTTTAACTAAATGATATATTATTAATTGGGTAAATTACGACTATACTTCTCAGGTATGCTAAAATAACTTTAAGGTCCCTGTGGTATCAGTAATTATAATCACCCCCCCCCCCCCCCCCTCCAAGAAATATTATTAGAAACTCTAATAGGATGATGCATTGGATATGTTATTCCGATATGGTTCTAACGGACGTTTCAGGAAATGGTTGAGTAAAGTATCCAATGCATTGCCTCGTTAGAGATTCAAACAATGTTTCAGGGGTGGTTGTAATTACCTATATCACAAGGACTTTAAAGTTATTTTACCATACCTCAGGAGTGTAGGTGTAATTTGCCTTTAGTAATTTAAATATTGGCAAAACACCGATTCCAAGAAAAATGAATTGACCAAACCATGGGGCAGAATGAAGCAAGACATCACAAAAGAAGGAATGGCCTCGAGAACGGATTTGATTATGATTTCCTTACCCGCTTTAGAAAGCTGCTTCATACTCCAACCACCAATTCTCGCCCAACAACGGTCTCTAAGGTAACCATAATATTTCCTTCCGGGTCTTACCCTTTGAAGCAGACAGACCGAGATACTTCTCGTGTGAATCAAGAATTTGGAACCGCAATATGTCCTGAATTAAGGTCTTTATCGCCAAAGGTGTGGATGGGCAAAAGTTCTTTATAGCCAAAGGTGTGGAGTAAGGTGGAATCTACCTTGCATGTTGTATTTGGGTTGCCAAGGCATTATGGATCTGTGGGCAGGCATGCCATTTCAAATATTTACAATCGACGAGAATATGTTATTTTCGAGATGGATTGATTTTTTTAAGAGAACTTAAAGTGGTGATAACTTCTTGTTTGCAGTAGCTGTGTGCTGGAAACTATGGGATCGGAGAAACCGGACAAAGCATAGGGAAGAGGCTCTTGAGCTGAGTGAGATCATTGGTTGGTGCTGTTCATACCTCCACGCTCTTAAAGATGCCCAATTTCGTAACTTATGCCCCTATAAACCGAACAACGAGGAGGTGTGGAAACCTCCACCTTGGGAGATCATTAAGGTCAATGTTGATGTTGTTTTTCCACCTGGCAAAGATTTTTACAATATCTCCTTAGTTGCCCGGAATTCCGACGGACAATGTATTTGGTGGAAGGTCAGAAGGTCTTCGGTCAAATTCGCCCCGTAGATGGTGAAGCGAACGCAGTCCTACAAGCGATTACTACGCCCGAACATTGCAATGGAGGAATATTATAGTGGAAGGAGATTGCTTACAAGTTATGGATGCCTTGC